AATTGGTTAATACATCATCCTGACATCGTTTTTCTTCTAAATTTTTAAAATTCAATTTTTAAGTTTCAATTAAAAAAATAATGGAGAAAGTATGCGAGAAGCCAAACTAGAATTAAAGAATTTTTGAGGAAGAGTATAATAATGTAAAAATAATGTAAAATAATAAAATTATTATATAAAAATTTAGATGATATAAATAATTTTATAAAAAATATAATATCTATCACTAATATAAAAATATAATATCTTTATATAAAAACTTATATTCTAATAAGAGTGTATTTATAATAATTATTATGCACCTGTGACTGAGCATACGATTGCATAGAATCATGTTGTTGATGATGTTGCTGTTGCTGATGCGAAGGAGGATGAATGGTTGGTATATCAAAATCCTCGTCACCAAAGCTTGGTGTGTGAAACGTCTGAAACAGACAAATTATACATATAAATTGAATTTTATTTTGTTACACGAGTTTCTCATAGAAGGCAGAGATATGTATCTTCCATCTCATTGAAATATTATGTCTGTAGATCTATGTTTTGCAATTCCATGTATCTTCATTATGGGTTATTGTTAGTGAACGAAAAGATTGTATTTTTAGTTGTACATCTCTGTATGTGAAACGATTGAAAGAGTGATGGAGATGAAAAGTTTCAGGGAAAGGACCCTTTCAAAGAAAAGAAGTCGACGTAGAAATGGAATCAAAGAATCAACCATCCACCGTCCTCCCTTGGTGGATGATAAATAGCGTTATATTGTTCGGAATCTTTTTAGCAATTTATTCTCCATCACAAAGAAGAAGGTAAATAAATTTACCGTGGCGCCTGTGATGGTAGGGAGAATAGAAGTTTTGAAATTGGATTTAATAGCGTCAGGAATTTTCCTTTGAAGAAATACGCTTGCCTATCGATCGTCTCAGTGTAGCTATATATCGTACGTTTCCATCTGCCTGTACTTTATTTCGCTATTATTATAATATCGTGACCAAAATAACTGGTAACAGTGTCAAGTCGATTTAAACAACCGCTTGCTGTGATCTGCGTGATTTGTGACCGAATGAGAGTTAAATATAATCAAAAAATATAAAACCAGATTAATACGCATTATTAATCATTTTATTACGCTTAATTCTGCGAATCATAAAATTCATTTTATGTTTATACGTCCATCGCGTAATATTGTCATTATACTTATGGCAGACATTACAATCTAATTTGTACGTGGCATCCCAATCCCTTCTGCCCCTTCCTACACGTATCCAAATATATCAGAAATCGATTGCTTTCATTCAACTAAATATATAATATTTAATTAGATATTTGATGGCATCTCAATGTGTCTAATACCGTTTCTTTTTTGTTTAATGACTTGATTTTTTTTAATTTTGTTATTTTACTTTTTTACATTTATTGCTTGAACGATATTAAATCCGTACTCGCAAATTACATTAAATTGTAAGTAAATGAAGAATTAGAAGAACAAAAGAAATAGGAAAAATAAGTTCAACCGGTCTGAGACTGTGGGTAAAACATGAAGGTGAGGAGAAAGGCAAACGAACGACGAAGAAATATCTGCCGCCGTTGTCGTCATCTTCGTCGTTTTTCTTTTCTTCGTTGCGAACTAAACTCGTTCCGCCATCTCGTTAAAACTTGCGCGCGACTTTCGCAACTTGGTTCTTCTTCCTGAAGAAATATTATTTAGATGGTTTCCTGGTTACGCAATCCACCTGTTCTCTATTTTTTACTTACCCTATTTCGACTTTGTACTTACGCATATAAATTACTTCGATATAGATATATAACATTATTTCAATATAAATTGTGATAAAATTCTTTACGCATATATACAATCTTTAAGAAAATCAATCAGATAATAACAAGACCTTTGCAAAAGAGATTCTTCCAGTTAAAGATATAAACTTAAGTATAAAAAAATACGGTCATAATTCACACACAATCAATAGCGAGACGGACTATTTATACTATACTTTTTCCACCTAAAAGTACATATCTTAAATTATACTTCGATAATGTCTAAATGAATATGGAATTTTCTATTAAATTTAATCAATAGCTGAGATTCTTAACATTAAAACAAAAACTTTATTTTACAAATTCTTTTATCAAACTTATATGACATTATTGTTATTGTTATTGTTGTTTAGATTTCTATCCATGCCGAGATTATTAACATTATTAACATTATTAACATTTCGTGAGCATTCATTTATTTCATCAGAGTAAGGCACAAACTGATACCATTATTATTATGTAAAGTTTGAATTCATAAATGATACGTAAAAACATTATCGTTATTATTTAATTTAGAATATTTTAAGCTAATATATGTCAGAAAGTAATAGAAAGTAATAGAATGAAAATATAATGTCAAGAATAAAATATATATCCCTGTGCGTTATATATTCATAATATATAATATAATTCACAGATATAATATTCGTAGTATTAACTTATTTACAGTACTAAAATCAAGTAATACTTTTCAGATAAATATTGTCCTAAAGTCATTGACTATTAACTGTACTACAACATGTTATGCTGTACTTTATATAATTTTGAAATATTTTATATCACTAAATAATTTCTTTCATTACGGAAAATTTCTTCAATTATTCTTTAGCAAGATCAAGTCTTTTACGAATTTAAGATAGACTTATAACCTTATAACTTCTTATTATCGTAACGTATTATCATCAAAATTACAAAAGTTATTATGATATTATATAATGTAACTTAGTTTATTGTCCGCATTATCATGGCATATTCGTATCAATTATTTTGGAAATATCTTTGCATTCCTGCTGCATTAGCAGCAAGTTTAGAAAAAATATTTTTTACAGCAAGAAATATTATATCAATAAAATAAAATTCTTTGTTGTTACAAAATGTTAATGTTTGTTTTCTTATAAAAAATAAAAACTAATTTATTGTCCTACTTTTAGTTAATTTAAGGTATTCTTTTTCATTCATTATCTAGTGATTTTTATTAATAACTATTTATTTTATATTAATAACTATTTAATTATTAGACAACACTCGACAGACGACATTTCAGGCACCTAATAATCATTTTTTTTAATTTTTTGAACTTACATATATATAAATCTAAGAGAAGTATTTATATCGTCAATTATATGTCATTATTTTTAATGAATTTGCAATGTAATAACTCAAAGTCAGAGCTAAACTTTCCTCCTTGATAAATCGACAATTAAACCGATATGATATCGATTATCTCTTTCCTTTTCTTCATAAAAATTCTTATTACAAAAAGCATCATCTCAGTCAGAATTCAAACCAGGAGCCTTTCTGTTCACATGTTTTTACCAATTCGATTAAAGTATGTGATGATATATTTATCGCAATAATCTGATACACAGTGACATTTTTAGTTAACATAAAAAATAATAATTCAATGTAACAAATAAAACATTCAATGTAAACATATTCTTGGCCCAAGAATATGTTTGAACAAGATGGTAATATGGACAGGATATATATACACACACACACACACACACACACACACACACACACACACACACACACAATATATATATATATATATATATGTTATATATTATACATACGGGATGTTCGATTTAATCTATTTGGGTTAATTATGTGCAATAAAATGCTTCAAATGACAAAATTAAAACAGAAAAATTAATGACGTGGACCATAAATTTTAAGTCAAGTCACGCAAATTTATGGACACTCGTCTAAGGAAATTGAGGAAAGAGAAATCAAATTTTTTGAATAACATCGTCCTACAAGAATAATGTCAATCGATAGAGTTCGAAACGACAGATCTAATGACTTATATTTTTATATATTTATATTATAAAAATTACATTTGCAATGAATTTTTGAAAATAGTCTACAAAAAGTGTCTGTTTGAACAATCTTTTTAAATATATGTAAAATATTTTATTATAAATACATTATCTCTTCAAAATTACTTTTGTATTACAAAATATTTTATATTTTTTTCTTTGTTCTCGATGTTCTCCACTTTTTCAAAATTTAAAAATTCGTTGCGTGCAGGCGATAATGATAGATTTATATTTTAAAAATCTTTATCTCTTTAAGAATCTTCTGATTTTTTGTTGAATTGTTTGTTTTTTTATAAATTCTGTGGCCAGAATTCTTGTCTATCAGTTTTTTTTAAATGTAAAATGAAAATGAAATGACTTCTTTACGTCAGTTGTAAAAGGCACAAATATTAATATATTGAAATTTTTTTTTACATTTATTGTAAATAAGAAAATGCATAATTCCATATCTCAATGGTAATGCAGAATTTACTGTATGATCCAGGAATTGCTGAGTAGACGTAAACCGAATAAATTCCATTTTATCTAAAAAATATTAGACACTGAAACTTAACTTAATCGCGTTTTTCTCGAAACTCTATTTTTTCCAACTGGCAGACAAGATATCTCCAAAAATATTGATTGAATCGAGATCGGACAAATTTCAAAATACTTGTAAAACGAACTCTAGTCGTAAACGACTATCATGTTACCTAGGGTTTTTTTAATTGAAAATTGGGGTTTTAAACTGTAAAAAACCGGCAAAAAATTAAATTTTTAGGTAAAAAAAGACTTTTTTTAAATTTACATAACTTTAATTTTTCAAAATTTAAAAATTTGCGTGCGGGCGATAATGATAGATTTATATTTTAAAAATCTTTATCTCTTTAAGAATTTATCTTCTGATTTTTTGTTAAATTGTTTATTTTTTTATGAATTCTGTGGCCAGAATTCTTGCCTATTAGTTTTTTTTAAATGAACTGACTTCTTTATGTCGGTTGTAAAAGGCACAAATATTAATATATTAAAATTTTTTTATATTTATTGTAAAATATGTATTTTATTTATAAAAATCGATTTTCATTGATATGTATAGTTTATTCTTTTTAAATTCACGAAAAATCCTAATTTTTTCAACTTCTACTCTATCCTCCTCCCTTAAGAGTTTTGTATCAACAGATTTGTTATCTAAAATTATAAAATTGTAATATTCGTGCATTAAACAATAAAATTATAATCGATGATCATTTATCGTAGATTGGCTATTACTGAACGCTTAAATTGAATCAAGCGACTGGCGACCGATTGAACGTGTCCTATATTTGATCGGACATAGCTGCATTCATTGGCTATTTATGCCGTTCTAGATATATTATTTTTCAAGTGTCCCTTCGATACATCGTATAGAACTAATTCACTTTAATTAATTATTATAAAAAAATATGCTGTAAGAATGAATTACTTTAAATATGTCATATCAACAAAACCAAAATTAAATCAATCATGACCTAATCTTTCGATAATACTTTGTTAATTATTTTAAATTAAATAAAAATGAAAACGCATGTAATAAGAATAAAATAATTTTTTTCGAGCTTCTTTAAACAATCGTTTAATGTCGGCGCATAATATTTTGAAGTCAGAAGCAGCCACTCATGATCACAAATTAAATAGTTAGTTTAATGATTAAAATTAAAGCATGTTTGAAAAATATTGGATATGATGCAAAACAATTTCTATTTCAATATAAAATTAATAAATGAAAAATTATTAAATTTTATTGTTAAATTTGAGATATTTCACTAATGTTGTGCAAATTTACATTCCAAAATTCCATCCATTTTTCAAATTCGCTGTTGTGTTTTTTTTATATAAATAAGATTGATTTAAAAACCAATTAAAAAAATAAAAACAATAAAAAAAAGAACAATCCATTGTCACAATTTCCATTTTGTATCTCACATGTAATTTCCATGTAATAATTTATGCTATATAAATGAATAATGTGCTACACATACGTGCTTTCTCTCTTTTCTTTCTCTCTTTTTCTCTTTCTTTTCTTTTTTTGCGCACAAAACAAATAATAAATGTAAACGTAATTGAGAAAGAACACAAGTATGTAAAGAAAAATAATTTTAATAAATCATTTTATCATATGCAAAACCATACAAATATGATAATTGTTAATAGATTGTTATTGACAATTCACTCACCTGGTCCGACATATTGTAGCTATCGTGATGGTATGATATTTGATGATGCTGTGGCACGTTCAAAGACAAGTCGAGATTGTCGTTTCTCTGTAACAAGAAGTAATAAGATTTTCTTTAATTATAAAGAAAAATAATAAATTAGCTATTGATAAATATTGTGAGCTTTGTACTTAATTATTACAAGTTTTATATTTAAACAAAAATTACAATAGAAATATACGAGTTTACGTAAAAATATACAGAAATATATGAATTTACGTAAAAATTATAATTATTGTTAGGAAATAAGAGGTAGTAGAATTCAGGAGGTAGTACAATTATCAAAAAATGAATAATTTATGATATATTATATACTTTATGTCAAAATAGACCAGAATAAAGTATAAAGCTATTGATATTTGTATCTTAATATTTTTATATTCGAAATAATAAAAAATATCATATCACGTAACAAAAAATATATAGTTTCATTTAAAAAAATGGCGACCATAAAAATATCTCAACAATAGCGTCATCTGCAAATGATTCAATATCATTATCATGTGATAATCCCCCCCTCCGAAATCTTACAATTTTTGTACAAAACACTTTTTTCCGCAATCCTATAATTTCGATATTTGTTTAAAATAAAACTTTGTATATACATATATGTATTTTTATTGAGCATCAAATTGTCAAATTTAGTGCAAATCCAATATCTACGTATTATTGTCTAATTTTTAATAGCGTGATATTGGAAATATCGTAATACAATTAAAATCTTTCCCTAAAAATTTAAACTCCCCTACTTTTTCTCAATTCTTTTTCTTTTTACTAGACTATTTTTTATTTCTAATAACATATATGTAGACAAAAAATATTACATGACTGCATTATTAATAAGTGAGAATAGAATTTATAAACGATATTTTCTTTCATTTATTTCATAACTCATAATCACGTAATTATGTGATAAATCTGAAGTATTAGGTGTACAAAAAAGTTCTAAGCTTTAGATTTCATACAACCGAAATAACAATTTAAATTTTATATATCTTCCCGCCCTTTTGCGGTTTTAAAGCGTTGACATTTGGCTTTCTAAAATGCCATACGGTTTGGCGTTTGATGCACATAATCTCAAAAATCAGTAGTGTTCACGATGGCAATAATAAAAGAGCATATTCGATTTTCCATTCACTTCGCGTTTCATCTGAAGAAAAATGCTGCTGAAGCCACTGCAATGATTTGTGCTGCATATGGAGAGAACGCTGTAAGTCATACTACATGTAAAAGATGGTATCAAAAATTTACGCCAAAGGAGATTTCAATCTTGAAGATGAACCGCGTGCTGGACGCCCTCAAAAGATTAAAATGGACGAATTGCAAGCACTGCTGGATATAAAACTCTGCGCAAAACTGAAAAAGGAGCTTGCAGAACAGCTTGACGTTACGCAGCAAACCATTTCCGTACATTCATATACGATGGGAAAGGTT